TAAAAGGTAAAGTAAAGAACGATTGTTATTTGTTACGTAAGTAGAACGTACCGACTTAATTTTACGTTTTAGTTCTTACGTACATCTACTTCTTCTTCTCTCTCTCTCTCTCTCTCTCTCTCTCTCTCTCTCTCTCCCCCGTTCTTCTCCTTCTTCTACATCATCTTTATCTTCTTTCCCCACTCTCTCTCTCTAGATCCCACCAAACTGTTTTCTTCTCTACTTTAATTTCAACTCTATATACCCTATAAGGCACCTTTCAAGACTTCAGGTAAGACAACATTAACAGTTGCCTCGAGGTTTGGCATTTAAATGGTGTTCAAATGAATGAAAATTATTTTGACAACATGAATACCTCCAAACAGCCACAAATACAATGTTTCTGGAGCAAACAAAACATATTGAGACAAATAAATATTTCGTTCATTAGAAGTTAGCAAGTTGACAGAATTAAGAGTAGTTTCATTGCAGCCCTTGGAAAAGAAATGTCTAAGTTACTGACTCGCAATTAATCTCCACACACCAACCCAAGCGGTGTTAGACCCCATTTGGACACACTAATAGTCATATCAAAGAAATAGCTCGGCTTACCTTTATGGGCTAAAGAAGTATATTCGCTTTCTCGGGCGGAGGAAACAGGTTCTTCTTTTTCATAGTCTTAGGGGCATTTCAGAGGCATTTTGTAGATAATCAAGATTGCAAAAATAGGCTGCTCAGTGAATAGTAGCAGACCAACCTGAGATATCTATCATTCTTAGATGGGTGGATAAGAAAAGTAGCATCATTGCTAAAATTCCGTGCACGCAAATGGGGCCTTAAAATGCATCACTATTCATGTTGGCATTGTCACTGTCTATGTTTCTTTTTTGTTTCATTACAGTTTTTCATATGGACATTCTCATAATTTATGCTCAATCCCTTTTTCAGACAAAAATAAACATCCTTTAAATATAATACATTTAAACTCACATAAGGAAGAAATAAAACATTTGATTACCCTCCCAATATTATCTTAATTCTTCACACAAGGAAATTTCGGATAAAATTCTCTTCTATATTTCACCCTTGGACTAGGACACATGATGTAGAGCCACAAGCCAAAGCATGGACTGGCACCTTACGTTCTACTAGGCAAATAGGGACTTGTATGGAGTTAAATGCACTTCCATTGGAAGCAAGAAGGTGAAAGTACCAAGTAAATTTGCATTAAGCAACAGGATAAAATTAGGCATCTAAAGTTAGTTTTTTCGGAAGTTTTGAAATGAAAGAGCTAGAATTCAACAGCTTAAAGAAAATGTTCTTCAGCTGCCCATTCCAACTTAAAAACATGGTAGAAACTATAAATGGGGAACAATGCTTTTGTCCTACATACCCAGAATTAAAGCATTAAAATATATATAAAAAAAAACAAAGACAAAAACAAAACAAAAAAAACTCCACATTATGTAAGCAAGCTATCCGAACACATATAGACCCAAGAAAAAAGAAAACCTATACTCCAATGAAATATCAAACTTTAGCTACAGCTTGAAGCTTTATAAAGAACTAAATGCCGGGGAAAAAATTCATATTGTTACCTTGCATCCATCAATTATAGCTGAACTTTGCAATCTAGTTTTCAATGTGTCTATCGGGTGCATGATACCTTCCCCAAAAGCCCCAGCTAGGCCACCCCACACAAATTCCCTCCATACTACATGACAAGAAAAGCACATCAGAGGCCTCCAACATGTATACTATGGAAACATACCATCAACTACATCAATAATATGCATAAGTACAATATGTAATCGCTCAATAGCCATAAAACTTAATGGACATTTTCACCATGATGCCAGCCAGTCAAGATATGGAAAACGAAAATTCAATTGGCATATAGTTCTTAAGCATGTTTTATAAGTCAATAATGTAATGAGATTAATTAGGGAGCCAATATAGTGCTCATGTTTAAAATATCAATACAACACTAGGAAATAAATGGGTATCAGTTTCCATCCTATAATAATATCAACTTTCAAGAACTAGGCTATATTTTCTTTTATGCATAACAGTTGCATCAAAGTCCCAATAGAAATTTTTCCTTATCTCGGTTTTTTTTTTTTTTCTGATTGGTGTTTTGTAAAGATGAGTGTTACCACAACTCACAAGAACTTTAAGCAATCATCTAGGGTTCATAAGGTGAATTATGGCTTGGCATTGGAGATTCTAGCAATCCAATCTAGACTACCCATTTACAGAGCCAAATGCAGTGTTTGAACATTTTATTTTTTCCTTGAGCGATGATTAAGCTTCAAATACTATACATAATGAAATTCCATTCTAGTTAAAAGGTAACAGCAAGAAACTGAATACAAAATAAACAAGACAAATATCTCCCAGAAAGAGAGAGAGAGAGAGAGAGTTGCCATTCCAAATTCAGAAGAGCAGGAGCTCCAAACAAATTGACCCTCATATTAAATGAGAGAAGAGAAATGCTATCCAGAAGGGAAAAATCACAAATTACAAACAAAAATAACCATCAAAGTAGACGAGAATAATGAGGGAAATGAGATAGAGAATTGTCACTCCAAATGGAGAAAATCAGAAGCTCGAAACAAATTAAGAGAGACAGAGAGAGGGATTTTATTCTACAATTAACAGATAGTGTCAATAAGTTATCATTGAAATGAATAGAAGAAATGCCACCATATCTGCAGTTTCAAAAAGCAATAGGATGAAATTCATAGAAGATAGTGAATAAAGAGCAGAGTACCAAAGAACTGAGCGGTGTTTGCAGTGCTCAGAGAAGTTCCAGCCACTTTATCGCCCTCTGGGCTCATTGCTTCAACCATGGACGCCAAAACCTTCACGTTGGAAAGACGGAGTGACTCCTGGTATTTGACGGTAGGGGTTTGGGGTTTAGGGTTTAGGGTTGGAAAGAGGGAGTGACTCCTGGTATGTGACGTTGGGGGGTTTAGGGTTTTCAGAAGGCGAGGGCGAAGAAGTAACCAAATGTTTAGAGAGAGAGAGAGAGTGCTTGAAAAACGGTATTAGGCTTCAGGGTTTAAGTCATAGTAGAGAGAGAAATGAAACCCCACCATTTGAAAGCTTGAAATGAAAGAAAGAGAGCCGAAACATACAAGAGAGCGAAAATGGGCTGGATGGGAGGGAAGAAATTGGTTTTGAAAAAAAAACATTGGGCCTAAATCCTAGGGTTACAAAGGTTAAAGGAGAGATGTGACCGTTCGATTCATCGCTTGTTTGATGAACAACAGCAGTCAAAAGATGGAACCCAAATTTTCAAATCACAAAGAACAAGAGAAGTCAAAAGATGGAACCCAAATCACAAAAAATCTCGTGCTCACCCGTTTGGAGTTGTGTTGCTCACCCTAAATAGTTAGAAAAATGCTCAAATGAATAATGATGATGATCATAAAAAAATTCTCCTAAATACATCTTTCACCCAATGGCCTGTTTAGTTCCCTAGATTGAGATTTTTGGGACTCACATTTTAAGGATATGTGCCAAAAAATTGTGTTTGGATGCATTTTGATTGAGCGATTCATATTTATGTGGGAATTCACTTTTCCACCTTTTAAACCAAATAGTTGGAAATGATAATTTTACCAAAATAGGTGGAATTCATATTTCCCGTACATGATGGACTTAATTTTTGCGGTAAGTTGTATTGTACAAATTTTTTGGGATCTACCTAAAAGAGAAATGAAATGACTCTGGCTCCCCCTTGCATCGACCCTATTGCTATAATATGTAAATAATATTTTATAAAAACATATATTATTTTATATTATATAATATTAGATAAGAGTAAGCTGGACAACTATAATGAATAGTAATATAGGTCGAATGGGAGCTGTCAGATCTTCATAATGTAGTTCATAATGCATATCCATATGAATTTTAATATTTTTTCTAAAAATCGAATCATAATGAAATTTTAGACGTGTGTAAAGTAGGGCACACAATTAAAAATATATAAAAACATATTTCTCAAAATATAAAATAACTGAAATACCCCTAAAAATGATTGGGGTAATTTGGTCATTTTAAATTATTGAAAATAAATTTTTTATATTTTTATATGGTGCACAATAGTGTTAGGTATATATACCCAAACTTTCCTCTTAATGAGATTTATAGAAATTAAAATTAAAATATTGATATGTATTTTGAACCACTCGATGATGATCTGGCAGCTGAAATTCCACCTATATTACTATTCATTATAGCTACCCACCTATATTATTATTCATTATAGCTACCCAACTATTGTTAGCTTTTTCCATTAAAAAAAAGGTGCGGTTTCTATAAAGTTGTAATATTAAACAATCCAATTAAGGCGCGCCTCCAAAATTTATGTAATTTTGGTGTAAAATGTTATTAGGATTATCTCAAAATCTATTTTCATATCTAATTATAAAATTTTAAACTTAAAAAATGATCAAAATCAAGTAAATCTATAAATATATGAAAATCTTGAAAATGGACAATCTAGATAATGTGTTACAAGATGCACTATTTCTGGAATCCAAAATATTTTTTTTTTTTAAATCAATAGGTGAATCTTCAAAAAATATAAAAAAAATATTTTACATAAATTTTTTTGACTAAAATACCCCTGTAAAGTTTTAGCGGTATTTTGGTCAATTCCTTTTTAATGGATTATTATTTTTATATATTTTTATTAAATGCATCTTGATGAGAAGAACATACATGTAAAATTTCAAGTGATTTTGATTTATAGAAAAAATATTAAAATTCAAACACGAAAAGAGGTCGTGATCGTCAGATCGGCCCAGATTCAATCTGGGCCATTAGGCATTTACTATAGAAGTCAACTAGTGGGGTCGTACTTAATCC